TATGGGATAGTTCAATCCTGTCCTAAGTGGTCACTATGAGTTGTAATGGACTCAGTGGCAACGGGTACCATTATTAATGAGCAAATCAAATGGAAAACATAGCAAAGTATATTTGGAAAATGTCCTAGAATGGGGCTTCAAAATGTGTTTGGAACAATGGGATTGAAAGATAATGGACATTTTTTCATGAATTTTATGAACACCCATTGTATTTAATTGCAATTTCAGTGAGTAATTTTGAGAGGTGTGTAACCTCTCTGAACTTTCTTTCCTGTTCTTGAGGTAATTTTCAGATGGCAAATATAAAGCTAAAAATTTAGGATCTCAGGTTTAATAACAAAGGATACAAAAAATAACATACTTTGTTTTTGTTAGGTGCATCAAGTCAATTCCGCCTCACAGTGTCTCTATGTACAACAATGAAACACTGCCCAGTGCTGTACCATCCTCACGGTTGCTGTTACTTTTGAGCCCATTATTGCTTCCACCATATCAATTCATCTTGTGGGGCATTTTCCTCTGTTTTGATGAATTTACAAAGCATGATGTCCTTCATCAAGGACTGGTCCCTCTTGATAATATGTCCAAAGTATGAAAGATGAAGTCTTGGTATCTTGACTTCTAAGGAGAATTCTGACTCTTTCTTCTAAAAAAAAACACCCTGTTTATCCTTCTGGCAGCCCATGGAAGTTTTAATATTTTTCTTCAGCAAACGCATCAATTCTTCTATGGTATTCCTTACTCATTGTCCAACTTTCATAAGCAAATGAGGCAACTGAAAATACTATGGCCTGGGTCAGTTGCACCTTAGTTCTCAAATTGGTATCTTTTGCTCTTGAACACTTTAAAAAGGATCCTAATATAGTTTGAAATTCTACTATTGTTGTTAGGTGCAGTTGATATGGTTCTGACTCATAGAGATACATTGCACAACATAACCAAACACTGCCCGATCCTGGGCCATCCTCACAGTTTCTACACTTGACCCCCATTGCTCTGTCACTGTGCCAGTCCATCTTAATGGAGGTCTTCCTCTTTTTCCCTGACCCTCCACTTTGCCAAGCATGATGTCCTTCAATTCTACTATGGATCCCGGTTTTTTTTGTTTTGTTTTGTTTTGAAGTTTTTATTGTGATGTTTACGTGGTAGAACATCAGCTTTACGCTCATCCTATTGTATTTCGTTTCATTGCAATGATTACAATCCCCTCCATGTATCATCAAATAACCAAAGGGTATACCACACAGGCCCGCCCCCTAGCCACCAACCCATAGCCATTCTCCTTCCCTGAGTCCAGTGTCCCCAGCTGCTCCATCAGTCCACGTTATCGTCTCTGTCTCCATTGCTGGCATCACTGCCTCTCTGGGTAGGGTCCTAATCTCTGTTCTTCTCACTTGATGGTCCCAGGGACCTCTGCTCCTGGGCTGCAAAATCCATCACTCACCTCCTTTTTCAAAAAACATCTACCTCTATATTTCCTACCCTCACAGTCAGTCCTGATGGCAATTATTCACTTTTACACCACAAGAGTCTTATCTCCATTTCCTTTTGCCAGCCCAGGCCCAACAGATTGGAAATCATTCAGTGGTGATTCTACCTTCCCCTGCTCACTCTTGAAAGCTTATAAGCCAGTCACTTCTTGCCTTTATGTTGTTGTTGTTGTTAGGTGCCATCGAGTCAATACCAACCCATAGCGACCTTGTGCACAACAGAACAAAACACTGCCCGATCCTGGGCCAACCTCACTACTGTTGCCACCCTTGAGTCCATCGATGCTGCCACCTGGCCAATCCATCTTGTTGGGGGTCTTCCTCTTTAGGCATCCCCATTTTGGGTAGCCAATGTCTAAGTTGCCCATCCCTGTCAACCCTGTGTATCAAGGGGGTGGGAGTGTGGATTCCTTATTTTTAAGTGAATATTGTCAGAGGTACAGTTTCAATTGGTAATCTGACAGCATATAGATAATGTTCATAAAAACAGAGCATCTCTTTAGCTTAAAAAAATTACATCCATAAAGTAATGTAACAGGAAGAGAATAACAGAGTAAAAGAGAAGAAGAGAAAGTGCTTGAAATACTGTTCTTTCATTTGTTTTTCATGAGGGAGATAATTGATTTTCTTATTGCTGTTATAGAGAGCACTGCTGACATTCACTGGCCTACTGAGTTAATCACAGCTGTGCTTGTGAATCTCTCCCAAGCTCCATTTTCCATTGAACTGGAAAAGATTTGCATTTTTGGGTTGATAATCTGCCACTCCCTTGTTTTAGTTCATCTTTCCAGTCACTCTCTTTGCTGAAAAAGGAGCCAGATTAATCAGTGCTTTAGCTGTTTAGATTTGTGTTAAAACTCCAAATGAAATCCAGAGACCAAAATGGCATGTCTGTGTGTCCTGGTAAATATCAGTGAAAGCAGGAAAGTATAGAAGATATGTGTGTTAAGATTACTATCAGCTTCTGGATAGTATAATAGGATTCACCAGTGTGTGTGTTTCACTTAATCATGACATCAGCTTAGATTCATCTAATTGTATCAAAAATTACTTTTTACATGAGGAGGAAGAATAGGAACTGGGGCATAGAATGCGAAGGATCTTGATGTTAAGACCTTCAAATTTGCTTGTAGTAGCAAAAAATGGAGAATCACAAAATTTGGAGTATGAGTTCTCCTTGTTTGTCATGAATATCTAAAATTTAAACAGTATTTTATAAAATATTTTATAAGATATTAGCTAACTTTCCTTAAATGCATTATACATGATTTTTTTTTCTTGTAAGATTTTTCTTTGAATGACTAATTAAATAAAAATGTTTACCAAAAAATGCAATAGAAATTATTATACATATTGTTGTTGTTGTTAAGTGCCGTTGAATCAGTTCCAACCCATAGTGACCCCGTATAGGGTTTCCAAGGAGCAGCTGGTGAGCTTGAACCACCAACCTTGCATTTCAAACAGCTTTGTAGTCTGATACATCAGCCCACAGAGCCACACCAGGAGTTCATTTTATATACATATAGTATCCTAAATATTTATATATTTTGTTGTTATGTGCTATCGAGTCAGTACTGACTCATAGCGACCCTATGCACAATAGAACAAAACACTGCCCTGTCCTGCATCAATCTCACAATCTTTGCGATGCTTGAACCCATTGCCGCTGCCACTATGCCAATCCAAATTTCATGCTGGAAAACAAGTTCAGTAAGTAAATTTAATAATTTTCAACTTTTATTGATCATCTAATATAATAAGAGAAATTACTCAATGTAAGTGTATGTAAGAAATGACTTTCAATCTAAAAGTCAGAAGATGCACAAATTGGTCCAACTAGTTCCCCTTTCCTGCATCAGATAATTTTCCTTTTCCTGTCATCCTCATTGGAATATCTTGGCTTATGCTCCTTGCAACTAGGCATACAAGGAAAGCAAGCACACCACTGTCAGCTCATGCTTACTGAATAGATGCACAACTGGGAAAATACATGTGACATCAATTGAGTAGAAATAGAGGAACATGAATTGGGAAAAAGTAAAAGGCAAAACCCGCCTCAAAGAAAACAGTCTCTGTAAGGAGGGAAGTTTTGAGTTGGGTTTTAGAGAACTGACTTCCATGAATTGGTGGAATATGGAGAGCATCCACATGCATGAAGATGGACATTCTTAAGTTATACATGGAAAAATCAATGCAGATCAATTTGACTGGAATTAAAAGACTTGTGATAGAAAGTAGAGATAATGAAGTGATTATGAATTAATGGTTAGAGTTTTAAAAAAGATTCTGATTACCAGGATGTGCACAAGCATATTTTTCCTGCTGAGATTTATCGAAAACAACATACAAAATGATCTCTTCTTCTCTTTCAAATATGACCAAAAATCTGCTCCTATGTTCCAGAAATACATAGAAAAGCTATGGAGTGTGTAACTGGAAAGTATACATTTGAAGGTCTAAATTTAGAAACATTTATAGTAATTCAGGTAAAATGTGAATATTTTCTTGTCTTTCTTGTTTATTTATTGTTTAAGGAACTCAGATACTAAACAAAAAGTTGGCACTTTAAGCCTTCCCACTAGCTCCAAGGGATAAATATCTGGTGATCTGCTCCTATAAAAATGATAATCTAGAGAACCCTCTGGGGTCGTTCTATTCTGTCACATGGAGTCACTGTAAATTTAAAATTAATAGGAGGTTACTCAACAACTCTTTTTTTTTTTTTTTTTTTTTTGCCATTCTTTGTGATAAGTCTCTTCCAGTTTCTTATAAAACCAAGACATGCAAAGGCAGGCTTTTCTCTAGAAAGATCTGTTCCGACTTTCATAAGCAACATACAAATTGGAAATTTCTCTTTGACTTATGTGAAATGGAAACAATTATAGATAAGTATCTAGCTTTTAGGGTGCCATTTTGGCATAGCTCAGATACTTAGCCTTTTGGCATTTGCTAGAAATTCAGTGCCCATGATCTAGGGAGGGTGGATGGGTGAAAGAGACAAACAGAGGCTTTTCTTCCAGTTAATCTCTTACAATTTCCTATTTAAATTGAGTGGATTCTGGCAAAGCACCAATATAAAAATCTTCTAGGAAGATTTTTTGCACATAGTCATGCCCAAGAAATGGACATCAAGTAATTTCTCAAACTTTTATAGTATTGTGAGTATAATATTATGGGGGAAAATAAAAACTACATATATCTAATTCTTATATTAAAGCACAATAAGGAAGGGCATTTCAATATATATTCATAATTTACATTCACACATACACCCACATACATAAAAGACTAAAATATGTAGCAAACTTATACATAAGCAGACACACACAAGCTCCAGATGTGCAGCTTTTCTTGCTTTGTGGGTTGTGTCTTCTATAAGGGAAAAAGAAATATTAATCATTTCTTTTACTGCTAAGGGGAAGGGTGCTGCTCTCATATTTCAGAAAGGGGCTGGAAAGTGAGAGAAGCCAAACTTTTTCCTATTTAAGGCCAAAGCAAAGCAATCTCAGTGGCTGAGTTTTATGACGGGCCCGGTGCTGAAGGGCAGGGAACAACTGATGGTGCTACTTTGAACTGCTTTTCTTTTCTCCTTTTTGCACAAAGAGTCTCATGTCTGATATTTAGACATGATGAGCTTTGTGCAAAAGGGGACCTGGCTACTTCTTGCTCTGCTTCATCCCACTGTTATTTTGGCACAACAGACCCAAGAAGGTGAGTAGGTACTGATTTCAAGAATTTTAGGAGGCTTTTTGTCTTTACTTCTTACAAATAGGTAGAAAGGGGGAAATCAGTTTCCTAGAAGATGAAATCCTCTCTAAGGTGCAATTGTGCAAACATTGAATAAATCATAATTGTGCTTTTTACATTTGTTTAAAAAGAATATTATCATTTGTGTGTTTTAAAGTTCCCTGGGTGTCTAAGAAAAATGTTCTTGTACTAACTTGTTTTCTTGTTAAAGGCTCTGGAAACTTTTAATATGGCTTTTTTAAAACTCCCTTCCTGGATTGTTAACATGTTGGAATGCTTCCCTAGGAAGTCTGGAAGTTATTGGGCTCTTGCAATACTTTTATGTTCTCCTTTGTATGCTGCATGCTTTGTGAGGGTAGAATTCTAAGCATTGTTTCCCCTGTAAGATAACGTGTTTTTAAATAGTGTGCTTTTAAAATAATCTAAAGGAAAATACTAAGAATTATTAGGATAATTAAATATATTTCTTCATAGTGTCAACAAGATAACTGTCAACACTTAAAAAAAAATGCATTCAAACTGCTAGAAATGTTTCCTTATTCCTGTCTATTATGTTCCTAACATTTCCATCGTTTATTAATGCATATTTTCTAATTATAAGTTACTAATAGTATAGTAATTTCTGCATTTTCTATATTTTAACTGTACTTGCGTTAACAGTATATTTTTATGAATATAATTTTAATAGGAATATTTTTACTGTTGTGCAAGCAAGATAAAGGTGTTAGTCCTATTTGACTTCAACAGTGGATTTGATGTATTTTCTAATTTGTATAAGTACTGCTTCTCATGTTCTAATTTCCCTAAAACCCCTTTGTCTCATTATATCTGTAAAATCCTGCTGAGGCATGAAAATACTGGGAAAATTGAAGTAAAATCTTCGTATAAATAAATATATAAATGCTAAATTCAAATCATCACACACCATTTCATTTTCTATTTGTACGTAATTAAAAATGTTTATATTTTTAGAGCTAAACCTTTTGCAAAACTTTATTGTACAGGAGAATAAGGTTTCAAAACATATGTATATCAATGATCTATGATGTTCTCACAGGTATTCTATGTAAGGAGTGGGAGGGAGACCTAATGGCATTGCTTCAGAGTCATGTTCAGCCCAGGGCCATAAAAGAATTCTAGGCTTTCTCCCCCCTCCTCCTCATCTCTCCACCCCTTTTGGCTTCTTTGGAACTCCTCCTCCTTTTCTTTCCTTCACTTACCACCCCACCCTCTTCCTAGTAAGCCCATTTTTCTTCATCTTCCCTCCTCTCGCTTTTCTTCCCCCATCACTACTTTCCTCCATTTTCCTTGTATCTCCATCTCTTTTCTTTCTTCTTACCTTTTGCTTTCTCCCCTTTCTTTTCTGTAGAACACTCAGCTCTCCTTCCACTTTTATGACTCCTTCCCTGCCCTGTCTTGTTTCATAAGAAAATGTAACAATGCCCAATCTTTGGTTAGGATATCAAATGACTACCTCCCTGCATCCCAGTCAAGACTTTTAACTTTTGTTAGACTACTAAATTCTCCTAATTTCCCATTTATTAAAAAAAAAACATATTAAATTTGGCTTTTACTTCCCAATGTTTGCAGTTACTTAATGTCTTGCTGTAATTTATTGCCACGATGATTATGTTTCTTCTCTAATCCAACTTTAGAAAGAAAAAAAAAAAAAAAAAAAAAAGAAATGCATACCTGTATTATCTTTATGTTACATAAGTTCCCCCGCCATTTCTATCTTGCTACAGAAAATAATAGATATCCATGATATTTTGCTGATACATTCATGTACTTTTAAGTTAAAAAAGAAATGTAGTTTGTTTTTGTCTGTCATGAAAACAAAGCAAAACAGTTTATGTGTTTTAGATGTTGCTGTGTGCCATAGAGTCGGTTCTGACCCATATTGACCCTGTTTAGGGTTTCTGAGGAGCAGTTGGTGAGCTTGAACCACTAACCTTGTGATTCAAACTGACTTTGCATTCCAGCACATTAATCCACAGCACCACACTAGGACTCAATGTCACACTAGGAGGCCTGGTGTTTTAGATAGTACTTTTTTTTTTTTTTCCCCTGTGGGATTTTACAAGAAAATTCAGTGGGAAGCCAAGTATTGAGGAGGTTACATATGATGATTACATATACAGTACATTGAGAACAGTCACATAGAGAGTTCTGTGCTGGGGGTTCTTGTATTTGCCCTAATAGCCCCAGAGAGAAAGAGCACAGCTTTACGAACAATCAATTCTACTCAAAAAAGTTTTCTGAAGCATTTTGATCTTTTCACAAATTTGTGAAAGTTCTAATTGTGTCTTTTATTCCACCAAAGGAGAAACTCAATATATGCTGTATTTCCTGTAGTTGATAAACAGTCCGTCCTGGTGTAAAACATGCCAATTTTTAAGCATAAGGTATCGCCACCTAGTGGCTCACAGTAAATAACCTTTCCCATCATGAATACCAATATTAAAGCTGCATAGCTAGATTACATAGCATTTTAAAGTGTAGTTTTAAATGGCAGATGTGTGAATTTGAGTATTAAGTGCCATTCTCCTATGGAAATAATATGTATCAGACACACACACAGACAATAGCAACAACATGCAAAGACTATTTTGGTAATAATTGAGCATAATGATAGCTTTCAAAATTCTATATACGAGGTTTAAAAAATATTTTTCAAGTCTCTAAGGGTAGCCCTCTAGGCATGTTATTCATTTCTTATTGGATAAATGATGTCTAAGATAGATATTACTAAGGAATATAGCTTCATTAGGGCAGGAAGAGGAATTTTATTTTAATTAAATATGTTCTAATGTTATGACTTCTCTATTTCACTACACCGATAATTCCACAAATTCCACAGTAATTCTTAGACAAGTAAACTGTGGGCCTTTACTTGTCTGGGAATTACAAAATTTTAAATGGACTCAGGGAATAGTTTTTCATTACTTGTTTGATTATGCTTGAATAGAGAATCAGCAAACAATCACGTAACATTCAGACTTTCTAATTGTGTCCCCCTCACAATTCAACATATGAGCTAATAGGGCAAAATGTAGCATATAATTAGAAGCAATGGTACTTTTAAGAAGAGATAAAACATAATTGCTCAGATATTTACTGTTAGTCATCTAACAAGAATTCAGTGTTATAGGTAAGACACTTATAAAAATAAATAAATAAATTCTGTTAAGCTTTGGGTAACTAGAGAACACAAAACATGCATTAGACTCATTAGTATCTGAATTTTCTTATTTTTGTAACTATTTCTCATTAAAAGGAGAAACTGTATATTGTTCTAGAAATCACATGAGGTAATGCATTTACAAAGTTAATAAAGGGGTAGATATTTTTGTTTCATTTTCAATTTTGAATTGGTAAACCTTTTTTTTTTTTTTTTAAAAAAAAGAGAGGTTAAGAAATTTATGACAACCAGAATCATCACCAGTTCTGTGATTACATAAATTGTAAGTAAATAAAGTATTATCAATACAACATTTTGTGTTTTTCATTTATGATGCCTTATATTCCTTAGCACTTCAGAAGTATTTTGTATCAGGTGATATAACTAACCAGTAAGTACATAAAAACTCTGATTAAATTCTGGAATTAAATATCTTAGCTTTGAAAGACAACAAAACCACTGGAATAATTCTGGGAAAGAAGGAAAGACTATGATTATAAGCCTTTCAGCTAATTTAGATTCCGGGGTTGATGTCTTATCTACAGACTAATTTTTTTAAAAAAGGAAAGAAAGCAAGAAAACATTGATTGTGAGTTTGCCAAGAGTTTGGTTGATACTAAAAGGATAGATCCACAGAGAGGCCACTGCTCCTCATCTAGTCTCATGCCAGCTGTGAGCTGTCACTTGGAGAGAAGAGTGCCATCTACTGAAATTGCATGGTTTCCATCTGGATGACTCCTCTTTTGTGCAAAGTTCCAAAGATTTATGTTGCCCGTTTCTTTTATTTTATAACATCAAATGGTTTCACCACCTTGAAGTGATTAAAGTGAATTGCTTAAGAGTTAAAGCTTTGAAGATGAAAGATGTTTCCTAGCTGGGCATGGGGAATATTTGTAAAGTTTCCAAATCTACTATGATTCTGGAAACATCTCACTGGACTGTTTCTTATAAAATGTACGTCCCTAGGGAAAAAGATCAGTCCATTGTTTTCCACACGCAACTAAATAAATAAATAAATAAAAGTTCTTAAGATTTTACAGTTTAAAAAAAGATTCTGAATTTTCAAAAGGAAAAACTTGCATGTTTCTTCTCAAGATGACAACGGAAAAAATGAGATAGCTCTTCTTACACAAATCATTTGTTAACTGCAGCTAGGGGAGTTACATTAACCACCAGAATTTCTGTGTCTAATGAAAACACAGCTGAAGTAGATTCCTTTCTGATTAACTAATAAAACCCTGGTATTTTCCATTACTGAGGTCAAAAACTGCCTTTAAAATGTAAGAAAATGAAAAGTTCAAAGAAGAGTAGTGAAAGTTAAAATCTCCAAAAGATATAGAAATCAAAGACCAAGAATCCACAAAATTTTGAAAGGAAAATTTATTTTGAAAACCAACATTGGAAAGTTTCTACTGCAGTACTTATATAAAGTAAAATACAACATTTATTATTTCTGAAATTTTTGTTTTTTGCAGATTTGTTATGGAGGTTGGTACACATAAATGCACTTCTCAAGTTAATTGAAATCATGGAAACATTGTTTGGATCTTCACAGTATGTATGTATATATATATATATATATATATATATATATATACTGTCCAAACTTAGAAGGTCTAGTGAATTTACAAATTTATTGTTGCTGCTGTTTTTGTTAAGTGCTGTTGAGTGGGTTCCAACTCATAGCGACCCTCTATAGGATTTCCTAGAGCTTGAACCACTGACTTTGCAGTCCAGTGCATTAACTCACAGCGCCACACCATAATGAAGTTACAAGTTTATT